TTAATTGTTTGTAGTTTTGACTACATAGTGATTAAAAAGAATTGTTGTAGAATTTACATAATTAAAAATAGATAAATTAACAGTAATATCATGTATATTTATGAAATATATAAGAAGTTATCTATTTGTGTTCAATTTTAAGATATCAAATTTCTTTTTATTGTTGATTTTGTTATTTTAAAATGATTTAATATCAAGTATTATTTATATTATTATTAAATTGTTCATTTAATTTATTTTTATTTAATTTGATTTTATAACGAGTTAATTGTTATTTACCTTTATATTTATTTTATTTCTTTACACTTTCTTGTTATTGTTTATTTGTTATATTCATTATTTATTGTTTATATTTATTATTGTTTATATTTTGTATGGATTTATAACATTTGTTTATAAATTGTATTTATAATGAATAGTTTCATTTAATTATTTGTTTGTTGTTGTTATTCTATTATTTTTATTTTAAATCATTTAATCATCATATTTTGAAATTGATATTTCTTTATTTATTTTAATAATTTGTGAATTATCATGTATTTTATGTATTCATTTTATTATTCTTGTTATTATTATATTATTATTTTGTAATTATCATTATATAATTATTAGAATGTTGAAATATTCATTTGTATTTTGATGAATATTTAAATGAAGAATAAATATAATTATATTATTTTATCATTATTTTATTATTTATCATATTTATATTATTATAAAATGAATATGATAATAAATAATATGATATATCATTATATAATAAAATTTATTTAATTATCTTTAATGAATAATATTTATTTTTAATATTTAAATATTTATAGTATATTTCATCATTTTTATTTATTTATATTTATTTAATTGAATATTATAAATATCATTTATATAATTATAATTGTATAATTTTAAATCATTTATATAAATATTTCAATTATTTCATTTTCATTTATTATGATAATTTAAATGATATAATATTTTCTCATTACATAATTTACTTATTAATTTATTTTATTATTAATATTTTGAATATTATAATCTATTCTTTTTGAAATAACATTCAACACTTATTCATAAACAAAATATAAATAAATATAAATGATAAATACTTTATTTATAAATCAAATCATATGAAATAAGTAATTCATTAATAATAATATGATAAAATAATTAAATCATTTATTAAATCTAATAAATGATAATATAGATGATCTAAATTATGATATTTTATTCTTCATTTCAATAATTAAATAAAAATGATTGGAATGTCATTGTAATGGTTTTATAAAGATTAATTAAGTATTATAGAATTTGTATTTATTATTTGTTATTCAGTGGAGATTAATCCCATCCATGAGTCTTCATCATGTAGTTCAACATCATATCTTTGGTTATGGTAGATTTATTGTTCAATGACATCTATTATATTCTTAATTACATTGTTTTTAATTTCTTTTATAATGTTAATTTCGATTTTTAATTGTTTAATTAATTTAATATTTTCTACATTTACTAATTAATTTATTGAAATTATTACTGTATTTATTTTGATATCTTTTAATTTCTTTATTTTAATTATCATATTCTTCTTTTCTTTATATTTATTTCTTTTATTCAAATATATTCTATTAATTTGTGTTATCCAACAATATTCAAATCAAATATTAGACCAGTTTTATTCTTTTTATTTATTAAATATATATCTGGTATTTTATGATATTATCATTCACTTTTTGATATTATTTATTTGTTCAATATGATATTGATGTCATTGTATTAGAATACTGTTTCATATATTGATTTCTTGTATTGTTTATTTCATTTATATTTTATTATTATTTAATGTGATAATACTAATATTATCATGTTTCTCATTTTGTGATTATTTATGACAAATACAAGATAATAGAGTATATTCTATTGTTGATATATTGTATTTACAAAGTGGATAGTATTTTATTCATTTTTTAATATTTTATCTTTTCTATACACATTGGATATTACTCTATCTTATATTTTAGTTAATTGGAGAAATGCATTCTTTTTAATATTGATTGACTTCAATGTATTGATTGTAGTAGTTTTATCTATAAATTTTAATTCAATCAATATTCTAAAATATTAATTTATTTGATTTCCATTTATTGATGTATTTATTTGTCATTATTTTATTTATTTTTTATTATTATTTCTTTTATTTTCAATCATTTATTTTATTATTTATTTTATTTCTATTTCTTTAATTTTATGACTTATTATTTATTATTTATATTCATTATTCATTTCTTTAAATATCATCTATCTAATATCTTATTTCTTATTTCACTTTTTCTTGTGTGAGTTAAATTGAAATAAAACAAAAATTATTATAAAACAAATTGCTGAAATAATAACAAGAAAAGAATTTAATTACAAAAAGATAAAAAAATGATATATTTTATTTCATATTACAAGTAAATGAATAACACCTTTAAAATAACTATAATTATTTAAACTTCTCATAAAATAATAATTAACTCAAATTAATCTTTTTATTAACAATTATTAAACTATAATTTGTTTCTCTTTTGTTTATATTGAATTTAGTAATTAATTCTTTGTTTCAGGTGGAGTAACTGTTACACCGTCTCCTCGTTCTCTTTTTCTTTGTTCTTGAATTTTTCTACATTCATTTTCAACTTGTTCTTTTTCTTGATTTAGTTTATATAATTGTTTCTTTAATTCTTCTGTTTCTTTACTTGTTGAATTAATTCGACTTTTAGTTAATTCTACTTTTTGTTCTAATACCTCATTTTCTATATCAAGCATCTGTATTTCTTTTCTTAATGTGTTTAATTCTTTTTGTAAATTGTGTGTTAAATTTCCTTCCTCTAAAGACTCTTGATAGTTTTTTTGTTCCTGGTATTTGTCTTTTAATTCTTTTATTTCATTTTGTAACTCGTTGAGTTTTTTTATACACTAACTTGTCATTATTAAATCCATTCATAAATTTACATTTTTTAACTCAACTAAAAGACAAACATCTTCTTTCTTTAAATGATGAGTCTCAACTTCTAATTGAAGACGATTTCTTATCATTTCAATGTTTGTTTTTAATACTTCTATTCGAGTGTTATAATATGAAATAAGAAGTTCAGCATTTGCTCGTTGTTCTTCAAATTGTGCCTGTAGGGTTTCAAACTCAGATGAACTCATCTTATTATTTAAGATGATCAAAAATAAAAATTAAAGCATTTAAAAAAGAAAAAACCTGAAAAAAAGAAAATGAGAAACCAATCTCTTTTTATACTCGCATAAAGACTGTATTATTTGAAGCTAACAGAAACAATTTGAATGACTCCAACAATAAGACCAAAAAGACCTAATGCACTAGCAAAAATTTCAACCATCAACATTTTGACAAACAGAGATGAGATTTGAGCATCAGCCAATGCAGCCCCTGAACCAGCAACTCCAACACTCACACCACTTCCAAGATTACAAAATCCAACAGCAAGACCAGCACCAAAAATCATATAACCAGCTTTGTATTGATCAGGTGTTGGTGGAAAGTCAGTTTCTTTTAATTTACTCTACAGAATAAACACAATCTAATCTTAAGATTAACTAAATAATGAAAAATGATGAGACAAACAAAGAAAATAAAACCAGCAATAACACCATAAATTGCTGTTGCTTCACAGAATAAAATTGAAATCAAATGTTTTGATCTGAATGTTGTTCGAATAGACGAACCCATCAAAGATGAAGCTGTTAATAAAATTCCCCAACCAGCCCCTAAAACAGAAACACCAACTGAAAAGAATACTCCAAACGTTGCAAAATAAATTGGGTTTATTTCGAGGAATGATTTTGTAAAATCAAGAAAGTTGTAATAAATCAATGACATTTCTCTTTACATTTTAAGATACTCTTTTTTTATTTTTGTTTTAAAAATTTTAATTTTATTTTAAGAAAATTTTTTAGTTAGTTGAAAAGGAGAAATAGTAAA